ATTTTTCCAGTGGTTGTTGTTTATTTTTTTCGCATATGGAAAATTTTTGTCACGTTTTCCGTGACGAATTTAAAATGCGCCCGGGCACTTAAGGGGTTATCCGGGTTTAGAACCACAAAAAAAGGCCTATTTTCCAGAATTTTTTTTAAAGATCCTATGACAATTTTGCAAATTTCATTTATTCTACATTAATACATAAGGTTTGAACTAAATTCTGTAAAATTTTGAACAAAAAATATTCACAAATGAGCCGTTGAGGGAGGGTTGAACTTAACCCTAAAAAAAATTATGTCCTTGCGGTAGGCAGGATTTCTCCGTCAATTTTTATTTGAAATCAAAAAACCAAAATTTTTCTGTTAGCTTATGTGTGTGGCTTGTCTTTGAACGAAGGATTTTTAAAAAAATTAAAAATTGAATTTTTGGCAGCGTTTTTCTTGAAAAATGACACTTTTTACGTCAATTTTGGCTATATTTTGGGTTATAAAATCGGTTCTAATTGAAGATATAAAAAATCCTTCGTTCAGAGACAAGAAAAACATGTCTAGAAGAAGTGTGGAAAATCTGAAGTCGATCGGTCCAGTAGTTTTCGAGAAATCTTGACTACCGACTTCAAGAAAGTGGTTTTGAGAAAAACGCGTTTAAAGTTTTAATTGCCAGTTGTGACTCATACGACGCGCTGGGCTTTAAATTTCTCCCATTACTACAGTTTTGCTTCGATCGACTTGAAATTTTCGGACAACATTCCTGACAATTTGTACTATTATATAAAAAAGTTTGAAAAAATGCATTTTTTGAAATTTCAAAACCCGGATAACCCCTTAATTCTTTTGTGTCACAACGAAGCAGAGACCGTTTTTCGTCTTCACATTTTACACAGATGCGCTAAATTGCAGACATCAATCATTTTGATATTTTTGTTGTTGTTGTTATTGTTGTTGCTGTTTTTATTTTATGATTCGCGCTCATTGCGTAATCTTGGTTCTTCTTCTTGGCTTCACACTTAGCGCCTGAATAAAAGGTTTTGATTTTTGGTTTTGGTTTCATGATTGCTGATGCTGAGACTCTCGGCAAGGTCTTGATTAATTTGTTGCCAATCACTTTTCGAGTGTGTGTGTGTGACAAAACGGCCAACGCAAACACACACACCACACACACACACTCACTGGCAAGCGGCATTTAAATCTCAACTAATGTGTAAATGAACAAGCGACGGCCTCTTGGGGTCAAATTTGGCAACATTTCTCATCTGCCGATCGGGCAAAACCATTTAAAAAGTATTATTTTTTTTTTCAATTTTTTCCCCATTTGCCGCGGCCTAGCTTCTTGGCCATAAAAACAAGTTGCAATTACGCTCGGCCGGCTTGCAACCTTCACGCATTCCCCAGATGAGTTGACCCATTCAATGTTAATGATAGAAATTCTATACGGCCAATCAATGCTATGCCGATGCCGAAAAACCGCAGGAAAAACTCTAAGTGAGCCAAAGTTCAATTCAAGCATCCAAAAACCCATACAATCCAATCCAATCCAATCTAATCAAATCCCATAATTCGAGCTAAGGTCAGCCGCAGGCCATTCTTTGAGTCTGTTGTTTAAATAGATTGATTATTTTGTTGCTATTTGTGCTGGCGATGGCTCTGTGCCATTGTTGTTCCAACAATTTGCATCTTGATTGTGCGATATGTTTTTGTCTTGTTTTTTTGTTTTTGGATGCACGCAGAAATAAAGTTAGTTTTAGGTTTAAAAAGTTTCATTAAGAAAAATGAACAAAAAAAGGCAAGAAACTTATTAGAAATGTTTGTTTGAAAGGTATATTTTTCCCTTGGTCTCAAATCAAATAAAAATTTACTCCCTCCTGAAGGTCAAATCAATGCAAACTTCCACAAATCACTTATAATTTTCCCCCAGTGTATAGCTCAAACGCATCGCAATGAAGCGGAAGCTGCGTTAAGTCTGCTTCAGATCTGCTCAAGCTGTCGACGGGTGCTTCCGTGCTCGGGGCAATCTGATCTTGTTTAAAGTTTCGCCTTTTTCCACTGTTTATATTTGTGGATTTTTGTCTTATTTTCGATTTGGCTTGAACATCTTTTGATGTTTTTATTTTGTATTATTTTTTTTTTTTTTTTGCTTAGATTATGGAAATGCGGCAGAAAGGCAACATCTGCGCATGAAAATAAAGCATAAGCCACTCGCCGTGCTGCCTATTGTAGTTGCAAAAGGTTTTATGTTTCAGCTCAGCGAAGGTCGAGCTTCGCATAAAACTGTCAATCAGATCGAGGGGCTCACGCTGCGTATTAGTAATGTGCGTCAACCAGAATCATCTCCGTTCGCCGATGATTAAACCAATTTACCCAGAATAGTTTTCTTAAGTCATGGGAATTGTTTACGCTGCTTCCAGCGGTTTTTGAACCCCGATACAAGGTCGAACGCAGGAAGTGCAGTCAGTCAAGAAAAAAACCCGAAATCGGAGGCCCATTCAAGGGCGTCAATGTGCAACAACTGGAAATGTAACAAAAACATCGACAACAGCGGATGCAACGATGCAGCAGATGCAAAATGTACAGAGAGACTGGCAACTGCGGATGTTGCAACGATAAAGAGGCGACGAGAACATGAAAAACTTCCCTTTGAGAGGGTCCAACAATGAGGTGTTAATGAGTTTTTCGTATTAAAAAGTAACTTTTAAAGAGTTATAGAAGTTATGGAATAAATTGAGAACAAAGAAGCAATTGTTTGTGATATTTGTATTTTATAAGCAGCAATATTGATTAAAAATGGTCAAGAAGCTTTTTGGAGTTTTATACTTTTTAAATTTAAATTCGTTATATTAAAAATAAAGAAAATTGTTTTAAAAACTGATTTTAAATAAATATAAAATTCTATAAGCATTTTCTTTAATTTTATTTATTTATTTATTTACTTAAATAATTTCTATCTTTAATTTTGTGTAGAATTTAGTCCATTTTATTAGCCAAAAATTAGAAAAAACATATTAATAAATATTCTACAAGCTTATATTAACGAATTTCCTCTTATTATTAAGCTTGTTTATAATTTGTTATTTCATTTACTTAACTAATTTACGATTCAACTTGACTTCAGCCAAAATTGTCGCTTTAAATAAAAACGTAAGCCATAAATTTGGACTTAATAACAGCTCTAACACATAACAGCCACTTGAATGCATCATATTAATTGCCTTAAAAGTCACCTGACTTAAGTCCATTTAAATATTTCTTTGGAAGTCGAGCTGAGCTAACATAAAACTAATTAAATAACACTTCCAAGTGCCCAAAATCATGTGACTCCGGCACCTTTGATCTTCGCAAATGAATAATTCGAGGGAATAGGCCTCTCTGCACTTCCTTAACCATTACATCCTTGATCTACCACTCACCTCCAACTGAAAGTTTCCCAACGCATACATGTTTCATTATTTTTTTTTTTTTTTGGCAATGTGAACTTAACACTCGCCAGCTAAATATGTAATTAATTTGATCTTAGTGTTAATCTGTTGGCCCAACACAATTCACGGCTTTTGCATTCAGCGGCGTCCCGCCCCAAGGCAACTGCCATTAATAAGGCTAATTAAAATATGCAAAAGGGGGGAGTCCGAGACAGAAGCTGGAACTGGAGCTCGGCCACGCCTCGGCGGGGATCGGATCGAATCCGCTTTCAAAATTAGCTCGCTATTAAAGATAGCCATAGCTAAATGGCAAACAAAAGTGCCACCCAAACAACGCGTCCGAAATCATCTTCATGGTCAATTAGCAGACAACAGAAATATGACAGAAACATAAAAAAAGGTAACAAAAACGACAAAAGTCACTAAAAAAAACGAATGAACGCCATCAAGTGAGGTTAAACATTTAAGCTATCCAAGAGTCACGGGTTCAAATCCCAGTCAAAATGTCAAGTTGATGATGACAATTAAACAGGATTAGCGAGCGACTTGAACTTGCCCCCCACGAATGACGCATTGCGACAGATTTTTTCCCCTCTTTGTTTTTTTTATATAGACGACGAGGCAGGGGAGCGTGGGGGATTCACTCGCGCAAAAGTCGCACTAAATAAATTACATAATCAAGAGAGATCAATTTGCATATTTATGAGCGAAAATAAAAAGCAAACATAAAACTGTTTTCAGAACAATCTCAATTTAGAGAGAGACGAAAACCCAAAGATCCGGCTGGCACCGACGAACACGAGAAGGTCCGCGAAGGCGGGGGTGAGATGAGCTATGGGTCCTTTCCCCCAATCGCCGCCAGTTCATTCACATGGCAATTAAAGATAAAAAATAAAAATAAAATAAAGCAACCGAGTTTGTGTAAATGCCAGAAGAGAAGACGAAACCCATCGAACCGCTTTTGGGCTTTTTTTTTGAACGCGTGCGTGGGGCAGCAGCGCGGAAGCCGAAAAAAAAGAAGTCAAATCATCAGCGTTTTAGTGGCATTTCGAAAGGCTTTTCAAGATCAAGGCCTATACAAGAAAGAGACTCGGAGAAGACAAACACTTAACCAAAAATTGATATATGAAGCATGCCGGAGATGGATGCCAGCGTTGTTGTTTGCATAAATACATTTCGAAATATCACAAAATCTACCGAGCTCGAGTTTCTAGTGCCAGGCACTCGACGCGGCAGCAACAACTACTTAATGGATCGGGGGCTATAAAAATTATCAAACTACAGTTTCAAACCCCCAGCTCGAGAAGTTGCTTTAAATAAAAAGTAAATAAATAAGAGAACAAAAAAAAAAAAAAAGAAGATTGAGGCGCACATAAATATTTATAGACAAAAGTTGTCGTTGTCTAAAGATGTTCTGAGCAACTCATCTCAGAGCCAAGTTGTTGCTGTTGCTGCTGCTGCGGCGGCTGCTGCTGTTAAAGCTTCGCTGCAGTCGCTGTCGACGTCCTCTGCCGGCGTCTCAGCTTTTCAAAGCTGCACGGCGCAAGTTGTTGGTGGACGGGCGGCGGTGGCGCGACTATAAAACAGTTTGCTGCTGCCAATTGACTTTTGTTTTCGTTTGCGTCTGGTCTCGTCTGGTTGTCTGCTTGGACAATTCGGCGACTACAGAATATAGAAACCGTGTGCTCTGTGTGCAGTGTTATTCCAAAAATAGCAAAGCAAAGGTAAGCCGAGCCGAGCCGCGGCCAAGGATATACATATACTATATACGTGTGTGGACAATCGAAGGACTGTGCAAAACCCATAATGTGACAATTAAAAAACCGCAAGAAAATTGTACAACAATTCAGTGTGCTGTGAGCTGTTCAAGGATATGGATTTATAAACAGCTAAATCTGAAATCGTATGGAATCGTTATGTTGTATAAAAAAAAAATCCCCTTGGAAACTAGAAGCAAAGATAACTTAATTAAAAGCTGTCGCGCTGGGTCTTAAGTAAACGAGTTCGTTGCCTAAGTCTTTCGTTTGAGAACTTGCTTAGAAAACAGTTTGTTGCCTAAGTCTTTTGCTCCAGGAGCTGGCGTTGAAAAGAGTTCGTTGCCTAAGTCTTTCGTTCGAGAACCTACTTGAAAAACAGTCCGTTGCCTAAGTCATTCGTCTTGAGAACTCGATTAGAAAACAATTCGTTGCTTGAGTCTTTCGTTAAATATTCTACAAAAAAAGTTCTTTGCCTAAGTTTTTCGTTCGGGAACCTTCTAAGAAAAAACGTCGTTGCCTTTCATTTAATATTCTTCAAATTTCTTCTTCGTTTGAGAAACATCAAATTCTTTCTTTTATTACCAAACATAAAAAGGCTTTAAAGTTTTCTTCTGATAATTTCCAAACGAAATCTATATCATAAAAAAACTAAATTCAATTTAGAAGAAGAAAAAAATCCAAAAAACCCACAACAGCTTCCCCCATCTGAAACGTGATTTGCGCAAGAGCCGTGCACATGAAATTTTCCATCACCCATAACCACCGCACGAAAAGCAAAACAGGCGATAATGCATAAAGCCCACTCCGGGGCCTGTAATTTGGCCAAAAAGCCAACACCAAAAGGGCATCTATGAGCAGTATCTACAAGTATAATTAAATGCATCATCAGCTCGACGCGTCGCTCAGCTCCGCTGATTGATTAACATGCATGAAACAAGAAATGGACAAAGCCCCCGATGGACACAAATTACAAAACGCAACAAATGAACAAACAAAAAGCAACAGAAATAACACCACGAAAAACTGGCAACAACAACAAAGCGAAGATATATTGAAATGCATATTTCCCAAGCGCGCTTGAACTCTTCAAGTTTTATTTTTATTTTTGGAAATGTCGCTGTCGAAAATGAAATCAATAATAAGCGGGCCGCCGCCGCCGAAATCCACATTTCATTATGTATTGTTACCAAATTAGGCGCTGATAAGCGGCGTCATTAATGATTTATAGTTGCCAAATCGGCGGACAGCAGGCGATCAAATAAATACTGTCGATAAGCATCGCAGACACGCAATCGCCGTCGCATCGAATCCAATTAATATGCAACAATTTTCAATCGTAAAGCCAACTGGATCCAACGGGGGACATTGAGCTCTGCATTGCATTAGCATAAGGAGGAAGAAACGGGGCCTGATTAAAATGCTGACTGGCTGGCTAAGTGGAAGGTTCTAGCCGAAGAGACACACGCAGCAGCAGGCGATAAAAAGTCAATAAAACCAGTTAAGGTCAGCTTGGCGCTTTATGCTTGTGTAATCAACATGTTTGCTGCACGATGTGCTGACGTCGCTGCCGATCGATGCTTGATGCTGATGCTGATCACGTTGCCGCTGCTGCGCCACAATAAAAAATAAAAAATGAAAATAATAAAGTTTCAAGTGTCGTCGAACGTTGTTTGGCGGTAGTTTCTGGTAGTCACTGTGGCACTGTGTCAGTGGCCGCCGGGGGCAACCGGTTGCGCATCCTTGACATAAAAAGCGATCTCGATCTTGCACGACAGCCAGCGCCAGCGCCAGCTTACATCTTTGGATCGCCAAAGCGAGTTGGAAATTTATACAAAAAAATTGCGTATACGCAAAAGGGCGCGGCACAAAGCGTCGGCATCTTTATCGCCCCGATAATCGTGTACAAATTTATGTTAATGACAACGTGTTAACAATTTGCATATCTGTAAGCTGTTGCTTGCCAAATTGCCTTCTGTTACTGTTTTTACCTGTTTTCTTACCAGGTTTTTCCCTGTCTTTTTTCCTTCCAGATGAAAGTCACTTTGGCGTTAGCGACTTTCTGCGTGGTGGCTGCCTGCGCCAATGCGGCCAGAACCACAACCACCACAGCGACCAAGCCGGGTCGCTTCCTCTCACTGCCCGTGCCCGCCAAGTGCGCTAGCCGTAAGTATTAACCCATCACATGCCTTAACCCATCCACAACTCGGTTCGAAAAGTAAAAGTGACGAATGCCGCGAGAATATTAAGCGGCTTTTGGTTGCCAAGTTTGCACTTGAAATTGTGTTTGGCAATGCGACGTGTGGGTGTAACCACAACTATAAAGCTGAGCAGGCAGAGGGGGTGTCAGTCGAAGGTCGCTGACGTGAGCTGGAATTTTATATAGTTTGTGATTACTTTCTTTGCTCGCCTTTTTCGTAAACAAAAATTCCAGTTGCCAAATGGAAAAGAAAACTTTAAAAAATTATATTTATCACTAACTGAGTAATTATTATTCGAACATATTTATTTAGAGATAATATTTACTTTTTTAAAGTAATTTTAGTATAGTAAAAAAGCATTTTCTTATGGTTAGATCAATTAAAATTCAATTTATTCTAAAATAAATTCATAAAAGTTTCCTAATAGAGAAATATTTTCTTTACAAGTTTAAATATTTAATTAAGTATCTTATAAATTCTTTAAAAGTACCCTTATTCCTTCAGTGTACTGTTCGATCTTAACTCTTAATTATATATTTAAAGTGGTTTATCCGTAAGTGTTTCACCTAAAGTGGGTTTTCCTCAATCTAGTCAGCAAGTCATCGCCAGAGATTGCAAACATTGCATCAGTCTGAAGCGTCTGAACAATAGCATCATCGCTGCTGCATATCCGGTACACTAATGAACACTTTGCAGTTATTGCTAATTAGGCAAAAACCCTACCTAACTCACACTATAATATGTAATAAATACAAATATATATAAATATATATATATAGAAACTTGCCGTTAAACATGCAACTTAATTTTTGGGGCGTCACCGAGTCGCCTAGCCAGTTTTTCGAGGTGCCCGTTGAATGCGATTTAGATCTTTCATCTCTTTGGAAAAATTTCCAGTTATACAAGCGCAGCTTTTTAGGTCTCTCCAATAGTTAAATCACCTGATTAACTATTCCGACTTAATTACCCGATTTTTTCTCTCGATAATTAAGATTTCATTTCTAAGTCTCAGAGAGGGGGTAGAGAGATGCCAATCTCAAAACGGGGAATGCAGCTTGGATTCCATGAATATTATGCAAGTTTCGGTTAGGAAAAATATATTTTTAAAGATGGCTTTTTAGCAAATTTGCCTTGACCCGCGCCACAAAAGGGCCAGAAATGTGAGGAAATGGCCAGAGACAGACAGCCGGCCAGCAAAATAAATAATAATGTGCAAACAATGGCAAATAAGGCCATTATGTTGGAAGTTAAGCTGATTTGACGCCCGAGGGGAGTGGCGATTGGTTGCAAAAGTTGGCTTAAAGTGCGGCTAATGACGCGTGCCAGCAGCAGCAGCAGCTGTGGCAACAGGCTTTATTTTTGTTACCTCTTTTTTTCTGCTGCTGCTGCTGCCTCTTTTCAAGCTAATCAAATGGAAGCTGCCATGACTTCAGCTTGGGCTTTGGCTTCACTCAACTGAAACAAGTTCGAGGATGCTGCAGCAGCAGCGGGGGACTCCCATTGTTGTTCCAAAGATAAAAAAAAAAAAAAAAAACAGAAAACCTTTTGACACCGCGAAAGGAAAGCAAAGAAGCATGCTGCATAAATCGCACAGATTGTGTAACCCGCCGCCGCCGCTGGCATCTTGGGGAAGTTGTGTAAGGCCCGGGGCAAAGTCTCTTATTTTTATTTTTTGGCGCTACTTGCTTTCGGTTTCGGTGATGGGGCAGGCTCCGAGACATTGCACTGCGGACACCAAACTGAAGATGAGACTGCAGTTGGCTGGGGGAAACCGGTTGGCAAAGACCACACCCACACGGGGAGAAATATATATCCACAAACTTGACACTATTTTGAGAGATTTTTTAAAGGAAAAAAAAATTAAAATAAATATTTACAAAAATATCTCAAGGATGCAAAGGGACTTTAGGAAATTAGAGAGGCTTTACAGAACTTTCAGTACAAACTTGGCATTATTTTTAAAGATTTTTTAATGTGAAAATATATATCCCAGGGATGCCAACTAACTTCTTGAATTTTTAGATATTTTAGAGAATCTGTTATACATTTTATACATCAATAGCAACCTATATATTCTCCTTAACCCCTAACAAACCCTTCTAACTTCTTAACCTATCCTCTCCCCCTCTTCCAGGCCCCAAGGAGTTCTCCTACCGCGGCAAAAACATGTTCCTAACCACCCACGTGCCCGCTCTGGCCAACAAGAAGGTCGACTGGCTTGATGGCCGCAACCTGTGCCGCGAATACTGCATGGACCTGGTTGCCCTGGAGACCCAAGAGAAGAACAATCTGATCTTCCGTGTGATCCAGCAGAACGATGTGCCCTACATCTGGACCGCTGGCCGTATCTGTGACTTTGCCGGCTGCGAGAATCGCCCGGATCTGGAGCCCAAGCATGTCTATGGTTGGTTCTGGTCTGCAACTCGCGAGAAGATCCAGGCCACCAACCGCATTCCACAGGGCTGGGGCTACAACCCCTGGTCTCAGACCGGACACAAGAAGCGCCCGCAGCCCGATAACGCCGAGTATGACATCAACCAGACCAAGGAGCAGTGCCTGTCCGTGCTGAACAATGTGTACAACGATGGCATCGCCTGGCACGACGTGGCCTGTTACCACGAGAAGCCCGTGATCTGCGAGGATAATGAGGAGCTGCTGCGCTATGTGGCTGCCACGAATCCCGGCATCCGTCTATAAGCGGTTCGCGCTGTTTGCCTAATTTTAAAGCTACTTATTATAATATTCCTTAAACACACGAGTTTTTGTATCATTTTTGTTTGTATGATGTACGACGTACGAAAACGGAAGAAAGCAAGACAAATAGACTTTAGAATTTACAATTCCCGATCTTACCACCTATAATACTGTCATCATTCCAGCACCCACTATCTATCTATCTATCTATCTATATGTCTCGTTTCGAAACTGCCAATTTTACGCGTAGAATCCCCATTTCCGTGGTAAACAATTGGGTTGCTTCGCAGAGCCTTCCTTAACTTGAATATTTATGGAGCGATCGCAGTCTTAAATTGCGACAAACATTCGGAATCTCTTGAGTATTTTATTTTTGAGACACTCACCTGTTCTTCCCCACAAAAAAGAGATTGAATAAAACTTTGAAAAAGATCCCATTAAAAACAAAACAAAAAAAATTAAATTAATGACTTTGGCTTTTATTAACGATGATCCAGGGACTGGGAGTGGCTCCTGGAATGTTTATGACCATTAGATCTGTGATGCTCTCTTCTGTGTGAATCCGAGGAGCTACGATCTCTCTTGGAGTTAGATCGTTTGGAGTCTCTATCACTTCTGGACCTGGTTTGGTGCTTCGAAGTATCATCTAAACCTCTGCGAGTCTTGTACTCCTTGGAGTTATCCTGCTGCGGTTCAGGACTTTCAGACCATCGCCAGTTTCTGCCATGCTCTAAAGGATCATCCCAACTTTAAACAAAGAGTACAAAATTTATAAATTGTATTGAAAAATAATTTTAAAAAATGCCTTTACCTGGGCGTTTTGGCTTTAGGAGTCTGACTCGAGTTCCTTTTACTTTTCGGACCTGTTGTGTACTCCAGTTCCGTATTAAACAGGTTGTCCTTGTTCCGAAATAAATGCAAATAGCCGCACTGGTTACCTTTGGGACATATACGTGTTAAGGACAAACCTTTAAAAAGCAACAAATTGGTATAAAGAAAATGGATTTATATGTGTATGTTTTTTAGATTTATGATTTCATATTTTTGGTTGTCAAAGGATACAGCTCTTCTGGGCATACAGTTCACGTACCGCAAACTGCGCCACGCCAGGTCTTCAGGTTGGAGAACTCCACATTGAGGCGCTTGCAGGCATAGTAGCGACCCTGGAGATTGGTAAAGGCGCGAAGAGCGGATCTAGAAGGGGAAATGTGTTAAATTAGAATGAAATATTAAGAAAAACTGAAGAAGTTTTGATAATTAAAAGCTTAATCAAACATAAAACAATGGTAAATAATTAGGAAATTACCAAAACTCGCAGATATTTAAGCTGTCAAGCCCTCGTTAAGTTAAAAATATGAAAAAATAAGATATTTGCATACAAGCTAACCCTTTTCTACATGCAAATGTTGGGAATGTGTCGTGACAAAGTTACAAAATTTGCATAAAAACAATTGAAATTAAGTATTTCTTATACAAACAAATATTTCTTATAGCTAAAATTATAAATAAATTCCCAGACAAATGTTTCTAATAGCTAAATATATAAATAAATTTCCAGACAAATATTTCTGCTAAAAATAAACACTAAAATCGATCATCACAAACCGTTCATCAGTGTATTCCACAAAGACATGACCCCTCAGGTGTTCCAAAGTATTTCGCACTGTTCGAAAGTTCACAATGGTTCCAAACTTCTGCAGCTCCTCGACGGCATCGGCAAAGAACTCATCGTAGTCATGCCGCATATCCTGCTCCGTCAACTCCAGCTCTTCGTCTGCCCCGGAGTACTCATTGCGCTTGGTGCGTTGCCCTTGCAGCAGCGAGTGACTAAAGAAGTGACGGATGAGTAGGATACGGGACAGCATGGGACGGCGGTGATTGAAGGTGCAGCTATGGCCATAGCGGCAGCAATTGGTGCGACTGTAAAACTCGCAGGGCCGCTCATCGGGATGGGTTTCCATCACGCGGAGGAGATGCTGAGGGGGCTGCTCTATGCTAGGATCGTTGAGATACTCTTCCATGCTCTGCATCATGGCCTCAAATTCGGCTGCAGCCTTGGCCGTCCTTTGCAGGTGCTCCTCGCGCTGCTTCCTCAAGGATTCCTCGCGTTTCAACCGCTCTCTGGCCTGCTCCTGCTGCAGGCGCTCCACTTCCTCTTGTTTCTGCCGTCGCCTGGCCTCATCGATGCGGAATTGCTGCTGGGCGATGGCCTCGCGGTGCAGCCAGGCTCTCTCCGCCTCCTGTTGCTCTCTCTCCTCTGCTTGACGCTGGAATTCCTCCAGTTTCTCCTGGCGTATCAGGCATTTCTGGTACTCCGGATCGGCGAGTCTCAGGTTCTCGGCTTCTTCCTCTTGTTTATCTCGTTCCTTGGCTGCTTTTTGACGGCGCCGCTGTCGCTGCTTCTTTTTGGTTAACTTTCGCCTGGCTCTGGGAATTTTTAAATTAGTTATTGTAATGAAAATGCATTTATTTACCTTTTTCCCGGCATTTTGACAAAAACAATGAAACAGTGTGACCGTGGGCTTAGAGAGTAATAATAACGTTGGGCCCTGAAAACGATATACACTTCATGCCATGTTTTCACAAAAACCACAAATATGAGCTGGTCACACTTATTACATTTGTGCATGTAAAAAGCATGTAAAATAAGTTTAAATAAAAAAACCTTCAAAACTAATATTATGAATATGGAAATATTGCTTTATTAGAAAGATTTTGTGTAAAATTTGTAATATTTAATTTAATTTTTTTTTAAATATTATTAATAAAGAATATAGTGTTTATTTTATTGTTTTTTAATTTAAGATAAAATGTTCACTTGTTTTATTCACTTATGTTTGGTGAATTTTACTTAAAAAAAGAAAATTATAATCTATAAACCGAAATAACTAATTTATTTTACACGATTTCTCAAATAGTCTTTTTTAAATTAATAAATTATATATTTTCTTATATACTTACATATTATCGAGTCTCGACAAAACTAAGCCCATAAAAGCTTTTATTATTAAAGTTATAATACTGTTAACTTATAATTCTTTTAAGTTACATACCTTGGCTTTTCTATTTTGAAACTCAACTCCGACTGTAATAAGTATAAAAGTTTGAATTTGCCAAGTTAGGAAAATGTGTTCCACAAATAAGAGGAAAATTCTGGTATACCGTAAGCATGGTTTTAAAAATGAACCGTTATACATTAGTATGACACCAAGTTTCCCTAATCTCTTCTGCCATAAAATGCAATGGGGAAAAGAAAAAGTTTTTCCGCCTTGAACTTTCACCACGACTTAAGCTTAAGGGGAAATTCGGTTCAGAACAAGCAACATTGGAAAAATGTTGCTGAGAATGTTGCTCGGGCCGAAGATGCGAAAAAAAATCAAATTCAGTGATAAAGTGAAATTCGTGCTGTTCACATATAAAACTTCGTGTCGCTCTCCCGCTCTTCTCTCCGGTCTTCCAAGCTCCGGTCGTGAATTTCGCGTGCTCTTCGGATCGGAATCCGAATCCGGAGAACGGAATCCGGACTCGGAAAACAACAAAAACAACAACAAACCGTAGCTTAAATTGCAGAAACTAAGCCAAAAAACAATTTTCGCGGCACAATTTGATATTTAGATAAATTAAATAATTCATGCCGCCGGCGACTGAACGAGTAGTGTGTGCTATCATCATCTCACAGGAATTGGCCTAAAATATACATTTCTATAACAGGTAGTAATAATAGCAATTAAAAGAGTGAAATTCTATAATCGGAAATGGCCAATGCAATGCGATTACTAATTGGATTTATGCTGAATTTGGCAGCACTAACAGGTGAGTGACTTTTAAAACAGATGAGCTGCACTGGGAGAAATGGTGTAATTACGACTATTTTGCATCATATAATATATGATATTATTTCGCATCATATTTCGCATTATATATATATTTATATATTAAAAGTGTGCCAATAATGTAAACTCTAATTAACTCTAAAAAGAATCATGATTCTTAAGACACGAAAAAAATGCAGTGCAAATATCCATATTTCTATATATAAAATATATACATATATTGTAAATCAATTAACATAGATGTTTCTCCACCTATAAATTATTATTATTTTGTTAATTAAAAAATTATATTTAAATTTTATATGTTTATATATGTAGGTAACCTTGAAAGGTAACTAATCTGTTATCTTTGGAGGTATTAAATTCAAGCGATTTGGTTTTAAAGATAACAAAGATCATACGATAAGCTTAATATACTTGATAAGAATTAGAATAAGATTTAAGCTAGCTGTGGCTTTTGATAAGTAAGCCACTGAACACATGATTTTCACGTAAGCAGATATGTCCCATAAATATATCAACAAAATCTCTAGCAGCTATCTCAGAGTTACTTAGGGGTTTCTTGTTTATTTAAGTATTTATTATGAATTTATCTACTTAGCGAAATTTATTATGAACTTATTTTATTGGGGAAATGGGTTTCTAAAATAATTCTAAAATATATTCATTACTGAGAATGTTACGTTCAAACTATAGATGTTACGAATGATTTGCTTTTAAAATAATCAATTTAAATCTAAATGCTCACTTTACTTCATATATTTTATTAGCATTGACCTCTTTTAGATTTCAGTGTGACATTGTGCTGTAAGCGTGGTGCCACCTATTAGGGCTAGGTGCTGGGGCACCGGCGCTCTTCCCAGTTACGTTTCTGCGTTTTATTTTCGGTCTCATGGACACCGACAACGTTACCGTCACCATTTATTATGTTCTTGGCCCGCCGTCGCGTCGGACAGTTACGAGTTACGAGTTTTTAGTTCGAATTCATAATGTGCTTGTTGTGGTCTTCCAGCAAGCAGTTGGGCGGCGGCAGTCTTCTTCCTCTCCTTATGTGTCGTTACGTATTTATCAATATTTGCTTTCGGTATTTAGTTTTCTGGCTCAAGTGTCTCGTGGCTAATAGAAAATCGATGGCATATTGTTGCACATTTTGCGGGCCATTATGAAAGCCATACTGGCTGTAGGTTGAGTATCTGAGAGATACAAGGGTGTATCTCAAAGAGCCAGCAGCTGGTATTTTTTCTTTTGCCAAAGTCCCACGTCAGTCAACGATGTTTGCTCTCAGTTTTTCGATCAATTTCCACTGCCTAAAAGCCGTCTAAGGGGTGTTAAGCCGCTCTCGAATGGCATTTCTCCATTGGACAACTGCCACTTGCCTCTGATGTCTGTGAGGCCTCCGAGACCTCTGATGCCTTTGATTCTCCATGGGCCTCTGTCTCTGAACTGGCACTTCAATCTGCATGCTCCACATTTATGTGGCACTGCGTTTTTGGCTCTTTTGCCTCCACTTTCTTTGATTTCATCCCAGGCTCCACTTCACACTCTCCGGCCCCGGCCTCGTCCTTGTTCTCCTTCTGTTTCGCCGCGCTGGTCCTCGCAAATATTTAATTTAAGCCCGGCGACATCTCTTGCTGAAGGGTATATACAAATTGTGTGGGCGTTGGTTAAGGGAAGGAGAAGAGGTTAATAATATTTACATTTAGGAAAATATTTCCCAAGATACATATATTTTTGTTTAAAATAAAAGGAACATATATTTATACAAAATAAATTCAAACAGAATATTCTCAAAATATCTTAAGTCCTGCTTTAATTCCTTAAAATTAATTTATTTAAAGTAAAGTAAAGTTAGCTCACATAATAAATTTCCCAAAGCTAAAGGACTTCTCTTGGAGAGAACAAAAAGCGCTGCATCTGCAGTTGCTTTTATCCTTTTGCCAGCAGCAACGGCCTTTTTCCTCCCGTTTATTTCTGTTGCTGTGTCCCACTTGCGGTTTTGTTTAATTACGCATATTACTCCGCCTTTCCCTTACCCAGCGTCAACCCAATCCCAGCTCCGGCTCCTGTTTCTGGTGCTGTTGCTGTGGTCACTTACTGACGAGGACGAGTGTCTTTGGTTTGGATCTCTTGAGGCTTGTCAACGGCAGGGAGCGTAGCATTTCCGGAGTGGTGGTGTTGCGGAAGGGGTCGAATTGCTCTGCGGTTGTCAAGCATTTCTGCCGGGGACAACGCTCGCTCGGATGGGGTTGTGTGAAGCTGACCAACTGGCTTAGAGGGTGACAGACAGGCTTTGCCGCTGCTTCTACTGCTGCTGAAGCCAAATCGGACTGGTTAATTACTTTGCGGGTGGCCGGGAGATAAGTGCTGCTTCGTATTTATCATATTTACTCAGTGAATTCAGCAAATTAAAATCAATATGAAGCCTGCAGCAGAGGCATCCATTAATTATACAAGCGGCTTTGGATGCTACTACTGCTGCTAATGAGGTAAAGTGTCGACAGCAACGCCCTCAGCGCACAAAAGTGTCCCATTACTTTCGTCCGGCACTGTACGCCGCCGGCCTTTTAATTGAGGGAAAGGTCAGACTCGCATCGATTTTAATGCAACGAAAAGAGAAAATAAACAGGCAACTAGTAGAGATACTCTGGGAGCAGGCCTGGGATTTTGTAAACAATTTTGTTATAATAGAATTTTTCTCTAGAGAGATGTGATGTAATAGTTTTTCAAATAATTTTTAATAACTTATAATGTACTTTTTTGCAGAATAAAATATACCCTTAAATCCTAAAAAGTAATAAACAATCTACAAGCAAATCACTATCAAGCAAGACCTTTAGGAAATCCCTTATAAAAATTCAATATAACTCTTTAAAAAATTGCATAAAAGATTTTTAACCTAAAAAATAAATATTTATTACAAAGAACTGCCTTTTTAGTTTGATTTTTTCATGTTTAAATGTACATATTTTCTTTGTTGATTTTTCCTAAATACACTTTTCGTAAATCCTGCAAAAATAAATAAAAAGTCAGCCAACAAATCACCAACAGTGCCAGTGTGCCGCTTTAGTGGTTGAGGGCTGAGGAGGTGCGTTTGTTGTAGGCGGAGATAGTACTACATGCCCACGCATAGTTCGGGCGCTGGCGATTCAATTTAGTTTGCCACTTAACCCCAGAGTGCCCCACGCGGTGGTGGGGCTGCGCCACCTTTGGCTTTCGGCCGGAGGGCGGGAGCGCAGTGCAGCGCATGATAAATTGCCACTTGACTTTGCATATTTGCGCTGTCAAAGGGTCGTGAAAAAGGGTGACGATGATAGGGGAGATGAAGTTAGGGGAAAAACAGGCGACAGTGAAGTTATACAAAAATATTTTGTTTATATATAATTTATATATATATATTTTTTTAAATTTATTATATAATAAAAAGAAATTCAAGATATGTTAAGGGACTCAAGAGTTTTTTGTTAAAAATATATATGGGTTTTAGAATATATATTTAACTAACCAATTTTTAAAATTGTATTCAAAGAATTCAAGAAGAAATTTCTATAATAATAAAATACTTATATTAAAATTAATATTTAATTACATATTTTTTTAATTTTAAGTAATAATCTGCTAACTTAAACTAATAAATAAATATAAGAAACCAAAATTTTTAGACACAAAATATTTCAAAATTGTTTCATTGTAGATAAGGAATAAACTATATAATTTTAAATTAAAAGTCTGAAATACTATTTTAAAATGTATAAAATCTGTTATAATTATAAAATATCTATAAAAACCTTCACTATATTCATAATTTTTTTCTGTGCACCTTCTCCATCATCAGCAGGCCACAAAACGGTCTCCAGTCACTTTGGTCTCGCTTTACTGTTTTCTATTGAATTTGTTCAACTTTCGTCGGGCGTCCGAACTTTGACTTCTGCCCAAGTTTTTCGTGTGTGAAAGTGTCCTGTGTGTATGTGTGTTTGTGTACTACCCAGGACTCATCATCAACCTTGACATCTTTTAAGTTTTTAGGGGAACTTCTTCCGCCAGCGGGAAGTCAGCAAGGCGACCGCAAACAAGGAATCACCCATTGTTCGAGGAGGAGGAGGAGGATCTGGTGTGCCTTTCATTTAACTGACACTTGCAAAAGTGTCCTGTCATCCTTCCGAGCTTTCCGTTTTCCGCTGCCAGTCACTACCTACTCTCCCTTCCCTTTTCCTTTCCCCCCTTTGTTGCTCTCACATTTTGCATGCATGATTTTTGGTGTCACCGTTCTTGTCTCCTCTCTCTCTCTCTCTGATCTTTCTTTTTTGCTGTGTCAAAAGTATTCGTTTTGTTATTATTTTTAAAAATCCGACAAGCACTCCACGTAGAGTGGCTGTCAGGTGGTGTCGGGCCCTGCATTTAAATGTATGCCACTGACACAGCTCCCCCGAGTTACGCCAGTCTCCCGAATTTTCCTCACATCCCTCTCGATTTTTTCGGCGTGAATAATTACGATACCTACCCAGTGTGCCCTCAGGGGTCGCCGGGGAACTCAATTTGTTAACACCCAAAATGTGTTATGTCTGATCCAAATTCTGTGATTTTTCCAAATGGTTACAGGGGCCAGTAAAGTGAAGTTAATTGGAATGCAAATTGGAAAAAACAGTGGCTTTTTGTGGAGTATTTTACAGAGTTGCTGAGGCGGCACTAAAATGTTGTACAAATATCAAAAATATTTGTGTTTGTATTCAAGAGAAACGTGTTATTAATGCCACATATTTTTTAAGAGCGATTTTTGGCACCTTGAAAAGCGTAAATGTTTATATATTATATTTATTTATTATATTAATATATATATTTTTTATATATTATATTGTCTACGGAAGAACAGAAACAAAATAGTAGAAAATTCTGTGTAGACACTGTAAAATGGTTTCTGAATAACTCAAAATTAGGGCGAAAATAGCTTAAATAGTTAATAGTATTTATAAATTCTTGAATAAT